CCACTAGGAACAAAGGGCATCGCTACTAGGAGCAAGGACGCTACTGGTTTGCTCAAGCTGTGAAGCCTCGATCTAGTAGCGTTCTTGCTCCTAGTAGCGATGCTAGGAGCCCCTAGTAGCGTCCTTGCTCCTAGACTCTAGACTATCTCTTGTTAAGCCTCTTCTTGACTTTCTGTAGGGTGGAACATGTTGAGCGGCCGGAGGACCTTGATGGCTCAAGGCATCTGAAGGTAGCCTTCCTGGAGTGCCATCAGGATCAAAGACTGCGAAGCAGACGAATCGAAGCCCTTTACATCAACTATACAAGCTTAACGCGACCTCAACACTGCCTTCCAAATGTTGTGCCGACAAGCATGTTTTACATGTCCAGTTGATATGGTCCCATTTGTTTCCCCACATCATGAGCTGGGCCCTTTGACTTGGCCCGTGAAATTCTGCACCCAGAGTTGTCCAGTGAGAATTAAAAGTAATCATAGAACTAATTACATAATAAGTTAAGCTTCCCAAAAATCAAATAAGCAAATGGATAGTGCGAGGGCTTCTTCAGGGAAGCTGCCCCCCGCCTTTATGCGAGGGGAAGAAGCCTGAGCTTTCCTGCGTCCCAGCTACAAGTAGCTTCTTATGCTTAGTAGCTACAACTTAAGCATACTTCGCTTACTTGTAAGCCTCCTCGTGGCCTATCCCCCAAATGTGAAACACTGCAGCACATCCGATCTGAAAAGAAAGGAGCCGGCCGAAGGAAGCCACATGACGAGCTCCAAGAGCTCGAAGACGAGATGAAGGAGGGTAGCCGCAAGATGCAGACCATGAGTTTTGTTTGTCCATTTCGTTCTTCCTTCTGTGTGTTTTTTTTCTTTGCACTGAGTCGTGTTGAGTTCTCTTTTGTTTCAACAAAGTATGTGGTTTCACTGAGATCGAATCTTGCTACAGTCGCGTTGAATTCTCTTTTTAGTGAGAAACGGAAAACTGTCCTGATCTTGTCCGACAAAGTGAATGCTTCGCATTCGCTTGGGCACCTCTAGCAGCAAAGATCATCCTTCACCATGCTGCTTCTGCTTTTAGGCTCTCTTCCCATGCTTCGAGTGGCTTCAAGCACTTCGAGGTACCTCAAAACTGCCAAGAGAGAAGTATACATATATATATATATACGAAGTACACGAGAGGACCGAGAGGAAGTCAAGGGAAAGTGCAGGAAAGAGATGGAAAGAGGGAGAAAAGAACTGTGTGAGAAAGCACACTTATATTGCATTACTATCTTGTTTGCTACTAGGAGAAGGGCGCTACTAGGGGCTCCTGGCCTTACTACTAGGAGCAAGGACGCTACTGGTTTGCTTATCTTGCATTACTATGGAGCTTGTGTCAACTCACAGAAACTTCGGTGCGTGGCCAGCACGGCAGCCCCAGCCAGGCCCAAAGCCACTGCCTCCACTCAATGCGCATGAAGAACAAGTTGCTGCTCTTGAGACACAACTTCAGGCCTTCCGATGAAAACCACATCTTGCCAACTCAAAAGGCAGTGAATTGGTGGTGTTTTCAGATCTGTGGTGCCATTGGTTGTTTTGTTTTGCAGATAATCGGCACCAACAAAAAAAACATCTTCAGAACATCTTCATGTTTCAAAAAAAAATCTAACTTCCGACCTCCGACCTTCTCCGAACGAACCTGCTTTGCACCTCGGTCGCGAGGTGCAGCTCGTGACCTTGGGATCCATCGCAGCCGAGTTCACCGTCCCAGCCTCCATGAAGGCGGGAGTCGGCGAAGTGTCGCACCTTGGGGCGAAGTGGAAGGACAAAAAGGAAAGGCCAAAAAAGAAGTCTTTCTTTACTAGAACGACCGGTGTTTCGGGGTGTTTTTCTTTGAATAAAACGGAAACCTTTTCATGTTTTATTGTAAACCTTTTGTGAGACAGACTCACCTGTCAGACAGGATGTGTTTTCATCTCACCACTTCTCACCACTTCAGTGGCCTCGGCAACAGGTGAGCTTTAGGAAGTTCAGCTTTAGGAAGCGCTTCTTCGCACTCAGCAAAAGTGTAGTAAAGTGCCACAAAGTTGTAGAAAGAAGCCTTCTAAAAGGGTTTGTTGTTGAACATGCAAGGGGTAGTATCGGTATTGGTTACTCTTTGCAAGGGGGGTTATAAGTTATAACTATCCAAATCCTAAACTAAAACTCTTCGAATAGCTGCCTTTTTGCTGGTCCAGATTGCATTGTGCAGCACATGAACAAATGACTCAAATGACTATTGTTTGCAGGACCTTTTCTCTTCAACTATGTGTAGATGCCTTGCAATAGCTTCATGATACACGAACATGTTTGAAACGTTCCAGCGCTGCGCGTCAGATGGGATGACACGTAAGAAAGTATGTCCGTCAGATGTCGTGTTAGGAATGCCCCTAGGGTCCTTGTTCCTAACATTGCTCCTAGTAGTATGGCCGGGAGCCCCGTTCGTAGCGTCCGATCGCTCCTCTTCACGCCCTAGGTGTCGGGGTTACATCATCGTGTGGCCCAAGAGTTGGGACTTCCAACCGAGCATCTCGGCCCGAGCATGACGAATTGCAGTTGATTGCAGTGGCAGGAAGGTCACAGTCACGTGGGGAGGTCAAAGGAAAAGACGGCAATTTCATTAAATGAAGAAACCTCCTTGGAATGTGGAAGGTTAAGCACACCAAAACGCTCCAAACAGATACTTATGACGAGAATATAAAATACTTGAATGAGGGATCGCGGAGTTCACTTGTTGGCGTAACGCAGCAATTGACAAGTCTGAGGAATCAGCGTCTCATCTTGGGTTCAACTGTGCCTTGCCTGCCGTTGGTCTGCCGAAATTGGTGCAGAAATCGCTATATAGTAGGTTGGAGGCCATCGCTCTTAACTTAAGTAGCTAGTGAGCTAGGCCGCAAAAAGCGTTCTGCAAAACACGGCTGCTTGGAGGTCTTGGAGGACACCGAGTCTTCCATCACCGAGTTCGGCGAAACAGAGCGGCTGGTGATCACCGTTCTTCGAAGACTCTCGGATTCAGCGGCATGAGCAGAGAGAGAGAGAGAGGGAGAGAGAACACCAAAGGTACTAAAGCAGTTTCTGAGCGCATGAAGCATGGCCAGCGTTCTTTTCACGTTCTCAACCACACTACTCTGCACGGTTGGAATCAAACATACACGGTTGGAATCAATGTTTGGGTTTGCACACAGATTTGCTTGTAAAGCACGCTACTAGGAGCAAAGGGCATCGCTACTAGGAGCAAGAAGCTACTAGGAACAAGTGCATCGCTACTAGTAACAAGTGCCTTACTAGTAGTAACAAGAAGCTATTAGGAACAAGTGCATCGCCACTAGTAACAAGTGCCTTACTAGTAGTAACAAGAAGCTATTAGTAACAAGTGCCTTACTACTAGGAACAAGGACGCTACTAGGAGCAAAGGGCATCGCTACTAGAAACAAGAAGCTACTAGTAACAAGTGCCTCGCTTCTAGCAACAAGTGCCTTACTAGTAGTAACAAGTGCATCGGTAGTAACAAGAAGCAACGTGAGACTTGTCAAAGAGTCAGACGCACGACGAGGACGGCGCCAACAAGCCTTGACGGCAGGGCTTCGACCTGAGGATCCAAAGCCGTTTCAGGAGAAGGAACAGTAGAATGGAAAACACATAGCCGAAAGTCCCTCCAACCTAATAGCTTCTTGCTCCTAGTAGTAAGGCCAGGAGCCCCTAGTAGCCTAGTAGTGATGCCCTTTGCTCCTAGTAGCAAAGGGAGAATGGAAAACCTACTAGCGATGGCCTCCAACCTACTAGCGATGCTGAAAGCCTCTTCGTTTATTGGCGAATTCTTCGACCACCGTTCAGACCATTCTTTGGGAAAGACAGGTCGAGTGCTGGATTTCTTCTTTGGGACTTGGAAAGCCGTGACTTCTCCACCGCCTTGGGCAAAGGCTGGAAGGAATCCGTGACGGTCTTGACAGGCTTGGTCTGGTCTTGGTCATCTTTTAGGTCTTAGACTTAAGTATCAAAAGAAACGCATGGTCCAATGAATTTTATGAGTTACTACTTCGCGCGCTACTCCCTTTTCTAGGATGCCCTTTGTTCCTCTTAGTAGCCTCTTGCTCCTAGTAGTAAGGCCAGGAGCCCCTAGTAGCGTCCTGGCTCCTACCCCCCCCCCTGCGCGCGCGCGCGTGAAAAGGTCCTAGTAGCTCTTAGTTTGAATTATAATTAAATTCTAATTAGTTGTAATTGAATTTTATTTCTATTTATTTCCGGTTTCTAATAGCAAACATTGTTCCTAGTAGCAAGGCCAGGAGCCCCTAGTAGCGTCCTTGCTACTCCCTTTTTCCAAAAAACGCTGTAAGATCTTGTTCGAGGCCTGGAACCCGTGCAGTGCCTGGATGTCTCCTGGGGTCAATTGCGCTGCCTCGCCGGCCAAAGTCCCTTGGCTTCGTTTCTGTCACTTTGCTTAAAACGCTTAGAAACTACACAGGATATAGCATATACTTGCAAGAAAGAGTGCTAGGAATGGTCCTTGATTGTTTTGTTTGTTCATTATGTTTCTCTTGAAAACCTTCAACTCTTTTTCGCTCTGTTCGCTTTTGCTCCTTTTCTCTGTGTTCTTTTGTCCTTTCCTTTCTTTTCTTTGTTTCTTTTCGCCTATCCTTCAATTTTTCTTCTTTAAGATGCTCGAGGAGCACCCGCTCTTTTGGTTGATCTTGCGATGCGGGCAAAAAGAAACAAGACTCTTTACAAGAGAAAGGACACCCGAAGCTCTTGAGGCAAAGAATCACGTCTTGGAGCAACAAGAACTCTTTCTGTGTGGCTTTTGATACTTTTGATGTTCTTCTTTTAGACCTCCTTTCTTGTCCTTAGGTAATTCTTCCCTTGTTTTGCCAGAAGGCAATCTGAGCTAGGGATTTTTCGTTCAAGTCTTTCGTCATGGACTCCACTCCAGGCTGCCAGCTGGTACTGTGGGACCTTGGTCGCGATCAAGAAGTGGATCGCTACGAACAACAAGGTGTTTGGGGCCTGGCCGTCGACTGGAGTGCCATGAAGGCCGGAACCGGTGTCGCAACCTTTGCGGAATAGTTGAAAAGCTGATGAGAAGCAGTTGCAATGAACAAATCTATTGTCTTCTTTCTTTAGAGCTCTAGATCTTCCTTTCTTCCTTTTTTCTTCAGGAGGTTCCTGTTTGCCGCGAGGAGAAGTTAATTCAAAATCTGGACACGTTCCTCTTGTCCTTGTGACTCCTTGTGCGTCTGAGGTGCTTTCTGCTTCGTTGGAACTTCACTTGTGGGATTTGAAGAACTTCATGCCGCTGAACGTCGTGAAGTACTTCGCCCCTGGGGTCTTGATGCGAATGGAGGGGTTGGCTAGTCATCAGCGAGGCTAGTTGGCTCCACAACAAACGCCACGCTTTAAGTTCTTGTTACTACTAGTAAGGCACCTGTTACTAGAAGCGATGCACTTGTTACTAGTAGCTTCTTGTTACTACTAGTAAGGCACCTGTTACTACTAGGAGAAGAAAGACCTTTGAGTCAAAGAGAACAACGTTCTCACTCTTTGCGTCCGTGAGCACCATTTTGCCGAGTGAAGTCTCAAAGCTTCGTCATTTTGCGCTTCCACGGTTCCACCTCCGCATCCGGGGTGCACTCCCTTTGAAACCGTCAGACCATCAAATCACGATTTTGATTTTAACTAAAAAGGTTTGGCCTGGCCGCCTGGCCTATTGTGTGGAAGTTGCTAAACATTGCCATTGTTGCTTCCGTCTCGCAATAAGGCTCCTGATGCACGCTGCATAGCCGTGGTGACTCGGGAATTTCAAGAACTCGACCGACTGGACCAGTTTGTTTTAAAACTTCTAGACTGGTTCTGTCGTTTTTGTTTGCAAAAAAAACAGTAGTAGCAGAGACAAACTCGGAGGAATCTCCAGAAAGATGAAAGCAGGAGAAACTCAGAGATGGTAGGATTTTTTCTGAATTTTCCGAAGAGCCACAAGTCCGATGGTATGTGTGGTTTCTGCGAAACGAGGATTGGAGATCTGGAAGAGCGATTACCTGCGGAGAGTGCATGACCCTGTGGCAGCCTGGCACGAGTGATACACCGTCCGGTCTCTGTTCGACGGACGGTGAAGGGTGAAGCACTCAAGAACCTCTTCATTACCCTCTTCACCATCCTTTTTCAAAGGCTCCGGCTATGCGCTTATGCCTCGCAAGCAAGAATACCCTCATTGTTACACAAGCAATATGTGCAAGTCTGCTAGTGAACCTTCGAATCTCAAGGACAGAACCTTTAAGAGATAAAAAGGGAAGTAGCGGTCCCTCATCCTTGCTCCTAGTAAGGCCAGGAGCTACTAGTAGCTTCTTGTTACTAGTAGTAAGGCACCTGTTACTACTAGCGTGGCACTTGTTCCTAGTAGCATCCTTGCTCCTACATGAAAGGGAACCTTTACCTTCTTTTTTCATCTCGTTCTCTAAAGACATGTTCATGTTCTCTAAGAATCTAGGAACCGGTTCTTCAAGGGAGCTTCTCGCCTCAGGCAGAACCCATACTTTGCGTCCCGTCATGCATACTATGCCTAGTCTACTACAGCTAAATTTATTCCCCACATTGCCGTGTGGGGTTCTTGTTTTTACTAGCGATGCACTTGTTTCTACTAGCTTCTTGTTACTACCAGTAAGGCACCTGTTACTACTAGCGTGGCACTTGTTGTACAAATTTATACTAGTTTTGTCCAAAGTCTAGGAACCAAATATCGAGAGCTTTCCTGCATCCATACTAGTAGCTACTTGACCTGCTATACATCCTACCCCCCAAGCAATATAAGAAAGAGAACCTATACAACCTATTAGATCCTATTAGTCACCCTTAAAGTAGTCAAGTCGACATCGGCTCACGGTTCGTCCAGTAGCAGGAAAGCATTCTTCCTTGCTCCTAGTAGCGATGCCAGGAGCCCCTAGTAGCGATGCCCTTTGCTCCTAGTAGCGTTTAAGGTTTGTTGTGCTTTTCTACAATCTCTTTGGGCCTGATTATGATGCCTCTTTTCGTGCCCTGGCTGAGGGCACTGGACAACACAGTCTCCAAAGTGAAAGATTTGAAGATAGGCGAGACGGATGTCCAGAGCCGAAAGCAACCAACCTCTGTGGAGTTCGAATGGAAACAAGAGGAACTGAAACAAGAATGTCTTATGTGTCTTTCTTTCGTTCCTTTTCAAACTAAATTGCATGTCCTTTTTCTTGTCATTGCAGCTTCCTTCGCAGGCATCAAACCCTGCGCTTTGGCAGTGAACTGGCCACGCTGTGTGGTTGCAGGGAATGGCCTTCAGCTTCTTGACAAAAGGCAAAAGGGACGGAGAAAACCGGAGAAATCTGTGGCAGTCATTAAACGTGTTTTGTGCTTGGTTGATGCTTGACAGTGTTTTGCTTTCCTTTCGGAAGCGAAGCAAGATCGACCTTGATCAGCAGATGCTTTTCTTCTTTCACTTTGAGTACCAAGACAGGAGAACATCGGCACTTACTAGGAGCAAGAAGCTACTAGGAACAACGGGCATCGCTACTAGTAACAAGTGCCTTACTACTAGTAACAAGAAGCTACTAGTAGCAAGAAGTTTAGACAGGAGAACATCGGCACTTAGGAACAAGGACGCTACTAGGGAGCGATCGGACGCTACTAGGGGCTATTTGTTCCTAGTAGTAAGGCCAGGAGCCCCTAGTAGCTTCTTGTTTAGACAGTCACTTCGTCACTTAGGCTGTGGAGCATCGAAACTGGAACTTCCTTGCCCTTCCGCGCCCAAAGTGAGGCCAGCTTCGACGGTCTAAGAAGCGCCCCTTTGTTCTTGGCTTCCTTTGTTCCTAGAAGCTAATCAATCGGATTCAAGTCTTAATTTAAGTAGCTTCTTGTTACTAGTAGTAAGGCCAGGAGCCCCTAGTAGCGTCCTGGCTCGTAGCGATGCCCTTTGTTCCTAGTAGCAAGAAGCACTAGTGGCGATGCTCCTGTTACTAGTATGCGGTGGTCCGGTGCCTTTTTAGATCTTCTGTCCTTTCACGTCCTTTCTTCAATTGTTCATGTTCGGACGACCTTTGAACGTTGTGAAGCCCATGCTGAGACGAGCCGACTGGGGTCACAAAGCATTTGGTGCAAGCAGGTTAAAAGGTGTTGTTGGCCCGTTATCCCCCTTCCATTCTTCGTTCCTCAGCGTTTGCAGTTCCCCAATCCTTTGGGACTTTTTGTCACGTTTGCACCAAGCGGAAAGTGAGTCATGGTCACTGGTACAACGCCGGACTGCAAAGGACTCGCATAACCAACACCACTCGTCACACGGATCAACCTACCTCTCCATCTTCAGTTTCAAAAACTCTAATGGACTTCTCTACTTGGCCTTCACTTTAGCTACTAGTATCAAGAAGCTACTAGGGGCTTCTGGCATCGATACTAGGAGCATTCTTGCTAGTAACAAGAAGCTGCTATATAATACAACTATTTGCTAGTAGCAATGCTCTTTCCAAAGTGTTCTTCCTGCACCCCGTGAGGCGCCGGTGCTGTGCGTGGCCGCGGCCTGGGAGGCGGAGCGCCTCGTGAGCGGCGCCGGCGACGGCACGCTGCGGCTCTGGAGCATCGCCACCAGGTGCAGACGTGAATCCACGACGCTAGTAGTAACAGGTGCCACGCTAGTAGTAACAGGTGCCTTACTAGTAGTAACAAAAAGCTATTAGAATTAAACTTAAATTAAATTAATAGCTTCTTGTTACTACTAGTAAGGCACTTGTTACTAGTAGCGATGCACTTGTTCCTAGTAGATTCTTGTTTCTAGCGAATCCACGACGCTGAAAAGGAAGTACTCCTCAGAAGTCGAAAAGTGCATAAGGACTTCGATTTGGATTTGGAGAGTGCTTTTAAGTGTGCGTTTTCGTGAGAAGGAGAAAAGCAAACTGGAGAAGAGAGAATATGTAGCAGATGTGAAACAGGGTCGAAAGTAGTGCATGTCGTGTTGAAGAAAAGAGCAACAAGAATCTCCACTTGTCGCTTTCAGCCGCTTTCAGGCAAGTAATCTTGGAATTTCAAGGCCACAGGAGTGAGGCAGGGGATGGACAGTTCGGGTGCTGGTAGAAATTGGTAGAGGCAATCGTTGGACCTTGACAGTGACATTGACGCTTTTGCATTTGAAGGGGCACACCTTAACGATCCATAACACCTACACCTTGCGAGGCGCATCCAAACGCACTGGCTGTTCTAGATGGCACTTGTTGCCTTTGCAGCAGTGCAGTGCCAGTTTCATCGAGCTTCGGCTGCCGCTTCGCCGCAGGTCCTTTCAGTGTCACTGCATTGGCCTTCGGGCCGAGTGCTCAGTGGCGAGGCCTGCGGAGAGTCGAGCAACATGTTGTTTCCTTTTCAGAACAGGAGTCTCTAACGAGTTGACCGAAAGCAAGCAGCTTTTCAACTGTTTCATACACAGATGATCACAGTTGCTTCAAGTGCGATTTGCTGATTGCAACTGATTTTCTGTGCTCCCAGGACTCGAGCAGGCTCAAGCTGTGGAGCTTCTTGGTTTGTTTGCGACAGAGACAGCTGTCGTTAGCGGGCATCGTACGTGTGCGACTCTGACCAGCTTTCAACTCAGCGAGGGATCTCGGCAGGACAAGCCCCCATAAGACTGGAAATGGTCCATTCAGCTGGTGTAGAAAGCGTAGAAATGAAGCAACACGAATAGTAATCTTAGGGCCTCCACCATCGCTTTTAGGTTGGAAGCTATTAGGTTTTTATCAGTTTCCTTTAAGAGTCCCGCTATTAGGTTGGAGGCCATCGAAGCAAGGCAGCCAGGCGATGCTAGGCCTTCATCCATGCCGTTTTGACAGCTGAGGCTTCGTTCGCCACCCGGAGCGGGGGTTACTAGAAGCGATGCACTTGTTCCTAGTAGCGTCCTTGTTACTACTAGTAAGGCACTTGTTACTAGTAGCGATGCACTTGTTCCTAGTAGCGTCCTTGTTACTACTAGTAAGGCACTTGTTACTAGTAGCGTGGCACTTGTTACTACTAGCTTCTTGTTACTATGAAAGCGGTTGGTTCCTTTGCTTTTGGAGAAAGCGGCTGCGTGAAGATGCTCGACTCGCTCGACCTTTCACGTGCTTTGATTTGATCTCGATTTTGCTTCGAGTTTGTTTTACTTTTTGTATTTATATGATATATATGTCGACACAAGTGGTGTTTTTTGCTTTGAGCTTTGCTCCAGGAGCCAAAGGCCTTTAAAGTCGAAGAACTCACAGCTCCAGGCGCAAAGGATCCTTCGTGTGCAAGAAGCTCATGGAAAAAGCTTCCAAAACACTCGAGGGCAATAGTAACAAAGGGCATCGCTACTAGGAGCAAGGACGCTACTAGTAGCTCCTGGCATTACTACTAGAAACAAGAAGCTACTAGTAGGCCTAGGGGCATTTCTACTACTAGTAGCCAAGGGGATTTTGATATGTCAGATTCATAGCTGAGAGACATCCTCCAGGCTACAGGGGCTCATCCTCTTGCCTGGCCGTGGATTGGGACAGCGAGGAATCAAAAAGGAGCGTGGCAGGGCGTGGAACGCGGAATGACAAGGGAAACGCCCTACCATCACTTGTTCCTAGTAGCGTCCTTGTTACTACTAGTAAGGCACTTGTTACTAGTAGCGTGGCACTTGTTACTACTAGCTTCTTGTTACTATGACATCGCAACTCAGTCTATTGGAGTGGTTTGTTTGGCTTTTCTCGGGGCAGAAGTGCAATGAAGTACAGTCCTTTTTGTTCTGCGCGAATGTGATCAAACGAGTCGCTGTCTAAGTGCATTCTTGGTCGCCTGCGCACTACCAAATGCGCTTGGCGGCGTTAAGCTGCGAGGTCTTGAGTGAGCCTGACTTGCGGAAGGAGTTCTATCAGCATGAGGCTGGGCAGAGCAGGAGAACATTGCAGTAGAACCGAAAAAAGAAGATGTGTTCCTTTGAACTTTCTGTTGTCATTATTCTGTCCGTTTGGAGACAAAATAGACGTACCAACAACTTGACAAGGACATGCAGAAATGGTGAGAAATATGGTGAAACTGGCTGGCGTAGACCATTCTCAAGCCATTGTGCTACATGTTCTTTTTCAAACGACAGAATCGCATGGATGGAGGCCATCGCTAGTAGGTTAGAGGCCATCGCTAGTAGGTTGGAAGCTATCATTAGGTTCCTTAAAGTTTCCTTTAAGTTTCCCTAAACATCTAGGAACCAAATCATTAGTGCGAGCGCTATCCTGCATCCATGCTAGTAGCTTCAGTAAGGTAGTAGCTACCAGTCTCTACTAGCTACCCTACCACGGCCTAACCCCCCCTAGCGCGGCCAAACAAAAGTTTCTTAAAGTGTCCACCCAAAGAGTCCCGCTGTTGGCCAAGTCGTCAGCGTTCAACTCAGGCCATTGAAGATCGAACCCAGTATCGGGAAGACTGGCTCAAGCTCATGCTCGGAGCTTGGTCGGACATGGCATAAGTATTTGGTCAATTGAAATCTATCGAATTTATCGAATCTTCTTTTTCTTTAGGAACAAGAAGCTACTAGGAGCAAGGGCATCGCTTCTAGTAACAAAGGGCATTACTACTAATAGCATTCTACTAGGAACAAGAAGCTAAAGTCTAAAGACATAGTCGGACGGACACTGTGGGAGAGTTTGTGACATCCTTGTGTTTCCATCCTTTAGCCATTGCCTCTATCTTTGTGTGTTGTCGTGAACTGACAAGAGTGCTAAGACCTTAGGTCTGGGACACACAACGCGTCCGTAGAAACCACCCATTTTTACCCCTTCTACTGACAAGCTCCCATTTCTCACATCAACATGGGTAAGAAATAAGAAAAGACAAGCCAAACAGCAAGAAGCTACTAGGGGCTCCTTGCCTTACTAACTACTAGGAGCAAGGACGCTACTAGGGGCAAAGGGCATTGCTACTAACAAGTGCATTGCCATTGTTTTTCATCTTCACCAAACTAAGATGACTCCGGCCAGGCACGACTTGGACGATCAGGTCGAGCAGAGAAAACAAAATTACAAGCGGAGGCCATTTGTTTGCAGTCGCAGTTCTGCATAACACCGGTAAGGCATGCAAGGCCTGCAAGGCAAGCACTCCTCCCTAGAAGCGATGGCCTCCAACCTACTAGCTTCTTGCTACTAGTAGCGTCCTTGTTCCTAGTAGTAAGGCCAGGAGCCCCTAGTAGCGTCCTTGCTCCTAGTAGCGATGCCAGGAGCCCCTAGTAGCTTCTTGTTCCAAACTCGCGAGATCTCTGAGATCTCTGCTAGGCTAGAGACTGAAGTGGCCCTCCTTCGGGCACGTGAGGGGCTCAGTACATGTCTTTGGCTTCCTGAGGTCGCCTGGCAGGTTCCATGGTCATCAAAAGTTGATGTTATTTGGCAAGCTGTTCAATTGGCAACGAGAAAAGGAAGAAAGAAGCGACGCGTCAAAAAGGTCAACAAAGAAACAAGACATGTCAAAGGGCAGCGGGTAATAACCTCAAAGACCTTTCGCGGCCGTTCACGAGTCGCACAAACACTGCAAGTCTTGAGAGCTCTTCTGTGGAGCTTTGTTTTGCACACACACAAAAGCCCAAGAAATGGTCTCATGCGGCCTAGCGTACGTTTGCGTTGCGCCCCTCAACAACTTGCAGAAGTCAAGGTCACATCCTTTCATTTCTTTAGTATTCTTTACTTATATCATACACTTCAAGTTTAACGCTTGTTTGTGGCATCGAAGCTAATAAGTCCCGACATTGAGGCCAAGCGCATCGCCGCGCGGAAGATGCAGTTAGCCTGCAAGCTGAAAAGCTCCTCGGTGCTTCGTTGTGCGAGGGAGAAGCTGAGAAGCTAAGCCAAGGTGTTCTTTCTTTCCGAAGTACTAGTAGTAAGGCCAGGAGCTACGTTCGTAGCGTCCTTGCTCGTAGCGATGCCCTGTGTTACTACTAGTAGTGATGCCCTTGTTACTAGATTCGGCAATGGACTTACAACGAAGTTTTGGCCCCGGCATGATCCACAGTTGTCGTTTCATCCGGATTAGATCTCTCAGTTGGCATTTTTGGGGGAATCCTGAAGTGCCGGGAGCCCCTACTAGCGTCCTTGCTCCTAGTAGTATGGCCAGGAGCCCCTAGTAGCTTCTTAGCTTCTTGTTCCTAGTAGCGATGCCAGGAGCCCCTAGTAGCGATGCCAGGAGCTGTGCGAGAAACATAAGTTCTTTACTTTGGAGTTGGTCGTTCAACAGCCACCATCCTCTTTCCTCAGGCCACCATGGAATTACCCAGAACCGATGGAGTACTTCGAGCGACCTCGGCCGGGGCTATTGATGCCTGAAAGCCCAGAGACCGCATTCCTCAGGTGAAAAGGGGACTTCACTTCCTTCTCCGTTGCGCCTTTGGTTCCTAACTCGAACACAAACCAAACAAACGTAAGTGCCGACCTTTGTCAGCCATTTTTGTGATTCTTTTTCATGTTTCCCCAACTCTTTTCTTTCTGTCTTCTTCAGACCTTCAAACGTCAAAGGTTAGACCGACCTGTCTTTGGACCAATTAGACCCCTTTTTCCTAGGCCAAAATCCGCATTCCGGATCCGAGGGCCTCACAGGGTTTGCGCTTTTCCTCAACGAACGATGAAGCCCGTAGTCAGGAATGTTAGCTTTGGACAATGTCGATAATATTGTTTAGAAAATCAATCAGGATAGATTCTGGCTGAGTTGGCAGGCAAGAACCTGAGTTTCAGGCAAGTCAACATAGATGACGAGTTTGCTTGCCAACGCGGCAATACATGGACATTGGGTGAGCTGCCACTTTCGGGAACAACAGTTCCGACCTCCGACCAGCACGGCAATGCCATACCTTTGTGCGCTGGTGTTAACAGTTCTTGTCGCAAGAAAATGGGAACGCCGCCTTGCATAAGTCGGCTGTTAGAGTCTGCTGTTTTGGTGTCGGCTTTGCGATTGGATAATGCATTTGCATGTTTGCATGCCATCGCTAGTAGGTTGGACGCCATTGCTATCAGGTGCAGAATCGTCTCTTTTGACTCAATCATAGCAAAAGGCCAATGGTCTGCTCAAACCACAGTAGAGAGTATTTCCACAAAATAATTGTTCCCGTTCCTCCCCTTTGTCCTTCGTTGTCCCTCGTTATCCTTTGTTATCAAGGTTGAATCTCTCAGGCAATTCGAGAAGGAGGATGTGTTTTGAAGGATGTTAGGTTGGAGGCCATCTCTAGTACTCGTAGGTTCCTTAAAGTCTGTTGACAGGAGTTCTAGCCGTGTTTATTGGAGCGTCAGCATGGACGCGAGCAGACTGCGCCGCAAGCGGAAGCTTTTGTTCGCTCACTTTCTTTGGCCGTTCTAAGGGTTCCCCAACAGGTCTGACCTGTCGGCGGAGGGAGCAGATTGAAGAGGAATAGGCGGAATAGGCCCTTCCAGGCGGCCATGTTTTACTCAACTTCCTCCTTTTTAAGGAGTGGATTGATCGGCACTGGATCGAGGATTTTCAGATCGATTTGGTTTTCGATTCACCAAGGGAAGCATCTAATACCTTCACAAAGAATGACATGCTCATGTCGCACCCTCAGGTGCGATCTCTGACGCAGAAGACGTCTAGGGATTCAATAGCCTTCTTGGTAGACTGCACTCTTGAGGAAACAACTAAAGACAACGAGACCGTCTAAAGGTCTAAAGAAAAAGAAAGAAAACTGGGAAGAAAAGGTTTGAAGGACTATGTGACCTTCAGTCCCTGGGATGAGCTTCATAAATTGTGAAGAAAAGACAGAGTAGTGAGTAGTAGCGTCCTTGCTCCTAGTAGTAAGGCCAGGAGCCCCTAGTAGTTTCTAGTTCCCAGTAGCGATACCCTTTCTTCCTAGTAGCGTCCTTGTTCCTACCCACCCCCTGCGCGCGCTCCTAGTAGCTTTCTTTGCTACTAATTCTAATTCAATTCTAATTAAAGCCTAATTCTAATTTATATGCTGATTCTAATTCTAATTGCGTTTAATTCTATTTATTTCTTGTTTCTAATGGCTTCTTGTTTCTAGTAGTATGGCCAGGAGCCCCTAGTAGCGTCCTTGTTCCTAGTAGCGATGCCCTTTGTTCCTAGTAGCGTGCTCTTGTTCCTAATGGCGGTGCTGTGGAGTTCGCTGCTGAGGGGTATTTTCGATACGCCGAATGACAAGCCAGCACATTGGCAGTATGACACCTATGGCGGCTGGTGTTGGCCTCAATGGTTTCTGGACAGAAGAAGAAGATTGATGTTTGGCCTTTGGAGAACCATGTTTTGAACTTCATGTTTTAGAAGAAGAGCATTGAATATCACGTGAAGGAGAGCTCTTTGTAGCAGCTCTTTCTGAGTGTGACCGTGAAAACCAGGGCTCCCTTCATCCATGCTGACAGCTTGGCCAAAGATGCTCGAGTTCGGGCAGCCAAGTTTTGCTGGAAACCGTAGGGAAATGAAGGGTTTCAGCAACATGGGGAGGTTTCATCATAGCAATCACTAGTAGCTGCATCGCTACTAGCAACAAGAAACAAAGACAAAAATAGGGCGAAATGAGTCCAGCAATCCGCATCTAACTGACACGTGATTCTCTTGAGGCTAGACCAGTGGATCCCAAGGAGAAGATGTACAAAGAAAGTGGCTCGTCC